AAATTACAACTGCTCTGAATTGACTTAATAAAAGTTTTTGCAACTTTCAATCATGTTATTGGGGGGTTATGAATGAATGGATGCTTAAAGTGGGTTTATGTGGTCCGTATTCTACCAACGGCAGTAGTAAACTTATTTCGAAAGCGCACAGTACTGACCTGTGCCAAAAAAAATAAGCTGCCGAGTTTTCGGCTTTATTTGTCCATTTTTAAAAGTCAGTGTTGTGAACTTGAGGTGGACATTTAGTAAGCGAGTTGATTTTGCACAGTCGAGTCTTCATAAACTCCTCCTTGTGAAGAGCTCACTCTTTTTAATGATTTTAGACATGGGCGTCATTCTTGCTGATACTCATGATAGCCTCCATCCTCTGCTTTTGCTTTTCCACATCGTGGATTTTTCGGCGATCTGCCTGGGCTGCAAAAAACTTTCAAGCAAAGTACTCAGGTTCCTTGAATATCTCCAACCTCTTCGACGATCCCCTTGAAATCTGTGACGATTCTTCACGCATAACAAATTCGAAGGTGCAGAAGGACTGCTTCACTGAGCCGGCGTCAGGTCTAATAATTCTCGACTTGGCTTTAAATGTTGTTCTTACGACAGAATTCCTTTTGAAGGTCTTATTAGCGCCAGATAAGCACAAATTTCTCACATCCATTGTTTCCATAATCGACATGGTCAATCTCATTACTTACTGGATCTACATAAGTGTTTTCTATTTTACCTACTACCACAAAAAACAAAGTGCCGCTTCATTCGATCCGACCAAAATGATGGACAGACCTCCAAATAACTTATGGCTTTTGAATATACTCTCAATGAGTCAAATTATGCGAATTTTGAGGATTTCCAAAGTTTCAAAAATATCTCGTGGCCTTCGCGTTTTAATGTTGACCGTGAAGAAATCGATTCCCGAGCTCATGCTCTTGGCATTTCTCTTGATGAATGGAATGTTCATGTTCTCCTGTATGATCTACATGGCCGAGTACAGTGTCAACGACACTTTTGCGGATATACCAGAAGCATTTTGGTGGTCCATCATAACTCTCACCACCGTGGGCTACGGCGACACTTATCCGAAGGGCACAGCTGGTTACATTGTTGGCTCGATGGCAGCCATATCGGGATGCATTGTTACTGGTTTGGCTATCCCCATCATCGGAAATAATTTCAACACCTACTATATGTACATGAAGAATCAACTAAAGGAGGATAAGTATTTGAAAGAATTGCGAAGAGACATTAATTCTGTTGGTGGAAACAATATTATGAAAGGCTTGGGCGGATTTGCAGAGAAGACGGGCATTCCAATGCTCCATAGGAAGTACAGACAATTTCGTGGAGATAAACAATACCCTGTCAGCAATCGCATCACTAATACAAACGCGGCAAAACGAGATGAAGGCCGCCGTAAAGCAAAGCCCATGCTTTCTCCAACCAAAAAGAAGAATTTTCCTCCTAGCGAAACTTCTGACAATCTGAAGAAAAGTTTGCTCATGAGCTCAGGAAGTAGGTCAGTCGGAGGCGAACCCAGTAATCTTGGAAACAACACACGAACAACCACACTAGAGCGCGTATCCCTCGGGGAATCGGTGGACCACAGACAAAGCATTGGAATGCACTCTGATCCCATTGCTGACCGTCGGACAAGCATGCTTCACCCTTTGGCCACTGATGGATTGCTTAACCTGATTCCTTCCTCCGAGATACATACTTCCGGCAGTTTGATACGGCCAGAGTGGGACGAACCCAGTGAAATGGAATTGGAAGAAATTCGATGCATTCACGCGGCATTAAGGAACCGCGGTCCAAGCAATGCAGATCGAGAGAGTTTTAATAGTGATGCTGATCTGCACCAGGGCGGGATGTCTTTCTCCGATTTCGCCACAAGTCCCAATGAACAGCACAACGACGGTTCCTTCTATACTACAGCAGATTTCTGCAAGCTCAGTTCCATAGCAGATAACACTGGCCTGAAACGCAACTATGTATGATAACAATGATTTACGCCTGTAGTGCCTGCCACCCCTATCTGTAGACGAAGAGGAAAAACCGGTGGCAATATTGCCTCTGTCCCTTCTCTCTCCCTTTATAGCGCCTTTTCAAGTATAGAGAAGAATTCGTGGTGAATGCTATTCAGTCCCTGATTTTTTCTAAGCGGTGTACAATAAAAACAACCGTATGTCTTCCTACGCAGATGAGCATACACACACGCAAGCTATGATAGGAGGACAGGCGTTGAGATTATGGCACATTTCAGTGACTTACATTTGTCTGATGCTTTCTTTGACACAACCTCGAGTAGTAATGGTTTTACTGTCAAAGTAATGTAGTTGAGCTGCCCCAAGAAACCGACGTTGAAGTGAGTAAGGTCCTACTTTTGGATTAACCAAACATTTTGTCAATAAAAGAGGAGAAATGCCACAGAAGCTGGTGAACGTACAATCCATAAAACGAACGATGAGATTTTTTGCGCATTTATTGAAACATTGCTCACTATCACGCCACATTTTTTACACCGCTTTATTTTTGACGATTATGCAAACAGTGAGATCAGAACAAAAGACGCTCTTATGTGTGCAAAAGACTTTGACAGTGCATATCAAGAGCAGCCAAATCTGTAAGTCATGGACCAGTGTGCACTAAGTAGAGCATTTTATTATCCTAATCAAATGCTCATTCTGTGCTTCATTTCATTGGCCAAACAAACATTCACCACTCTGTAACTACTGTGTTGTCAGAGAATGCACGCATATGCTTCTTGGTTAGATAGTTCCCATCGTGTCTATGCTGCAATCAACTTG